GAGATGGAGTCTGCCTCAGTGGCCCGCGATCACAAATCCCTATTTAACTCCAACAAAAAAGTAACCTACAGCGCCACACCTATTACCATCATTAGGGGAAAAAACGGTGAACCAATCTCCGACCCCCAGGAACAGGTTTGCAGATTGGCTGAGCATTTCTGTGAGGTCCTGGAGGAGGGAAAATCCCTCAGCCAGGAAAACATCATGGCACAAAGTGAGGATGACCCTGCTGAGGCTGCGGTGCCTCAAATATTGGAAGAAGAAGTCACCCCCTGTGAGTGGCTGGCTGAGATGCCATCTGTTGAGGAAGTACTGAAGGCGATCCGGAGTCTGAGGCCAGGAAAGGCAGCGGGCAGAGATGATCTCCCAAGCGAAATGCTGAGGGAGGGTGGCGTTTGTGCACAGACTGCTCTATATGACATCATAACAACAGTCTGGACCACTGGACGGGTTCCGCAGGATTGGAAGGATGCCCTGGTGGTCCCCCTCTTTAAGAAGGGGGACCGCACAGACTGTAACAGCTACAGGGGCATCTCACTCCTCAGTGTGCTTGGAAAGGTCCTGGCAAGGATTATTCAACATCGCCTTGCCAGGCACGCTGAGGAGAGGCTTGCGGAGCCCCAATGCGGTTTTAGGAAAGGGCGGTCCTGCACTGATGCCATATTTTCTGTCCGTCTGCTATAGCAGAGGTGTAGGGAATTCCAGCAAGACCTACATCTCTGCTTTATTGACCTGGTCAAGGCCTATGATACCATCAGTAGGCCTGGGCTTTGGGTTGTTCTTCGTGCTTTTGGAGTACCTGACCCTCTGCTCACGATCATTAAGGACCTTCATGATGGTGAGCGGGCCTGGGTAAAACTACGTGGCCGGGAGTCAGAGCCATTCCCTGTACACCTTGGGGTGCGACAGGGATGTCCTCTGGCTCCCATAATATTTAACATCTATTTTGACCACGTAGTTCGTGAAGCCTTCAATAGCTGTACCGGGGGAATCTCCATATGGTACAGATATAATGGGAGGCTGATCGATGCCCGGGTGCGGTCAAGGGATGGCTCCCTATTGCTCAACCACGTTATGTATGCTGATGATTTGGTAATAGCTGCTCATTCAGAGGAGGAGCTGGAGATGCTGCTGGTGAGACTGGAGCGTGCTACTAAGAGATGGGGCCTTACCATCAGCCCGACCAAAACTAAGCACCTACCTGGGTATTTTGTACCATCGGACACTCCACCCGCACAACTCCCAATCGGTGATGGGGCAGTTGTGGAGAGAGTGGAGAGTTTCCCATACCTGGGCAGTGTGCTTATGACCGGGTCCAGTTTAACAGCAGAGGTCTCACTCCGAATCAGTCGAGCGGCAATATCTTTTCATCGGTTGCGTAACGCTGTGTGGAAGCTACCTGGTCTGTCGCTCCGCACTAAGCTTCAGGTCTTCTCGGCCACGGTCATTCCCTCCCTTCTCTATGCTTGCGAAACGTAGAACCCCCTAATGGAACATCTTCGCTGGTTAGAAACATTTAGGCTGGCCTGCCTACGATCCATCCTGGGTTTAACCAGGCTGGATTGTGTGAGGAGCTCACAAATCCTTGAAAGATCTGGGCACGGTCCCATCGATGAGCTCCTCCGGCAGGCGAGGCTGGGTCATGTAGCCCGCATGACCAGCCACCGCATACCGAAACAGCTTTTGTTCGGCCGGATCGAGGGGGCTAAACAGGCGCGGCACGGGCTAGAGAAGAGATGGAGTGATGTGGTACAGGAGGACGTGGAGCTGAGTGGACTTGCCGATGACTGGTACCAGCAGTTGGAGGTAGTCGCCCTCCAACAACAACGGAGGGCGGAGGAGCGACGCTCACAACAACGAGCGGAGCGCCGGGTGGCTAAAGCACAGCAGATTGGCACAGTAGGGGGCACAGGTGGTGCATCAGCCAGTCATCTCAGTCATCTCAGTCAGTCGACCCGTGGCACCTGGGTCTGCCCCGTGACCTCCTGCCAGCGGGCGTTCGACACTTCACGTGACCTCAAGGTGCACATAGCCTGGCACAAGCGTAGTGGTGACGTTACCGCAACTTAGTGGCGAATGGCGGTTGTTGTTGTGGCTGTGTGTGTGTGTCTGTGTGTGGGTGGCTTTGTGTGGCTGGGTGTGTGTGGCTGTGTGTGTGGCTGTGTGTGTGTGTGTGGCTGTGTGTGTGTGGCTGTGTGTGTGGCTGTGTGGGTGGCTGTGTGTGTGTGGCTGTGTGTGTGGTGGGGGTGGTGGTGGTGGGGGTGGTGATGGTCGGGGTGGTGGTGGTGGGGGTGGTGGGGGTGGTGGTGGTGGTTGTGGGGTTGGTGGTTGTGGTGGTGTTGGTGAGGGTGGTGGTGGTTGTGGGGGTGGTGGTGGTTGTGGGGGTGGTGAGGGTGGGGGTGGTGGTGGTGGTGGTTGTGGGGGTGGTGGTGGGGGTGGTGGTGATGGTTGTGGGGGTGGTGAGGGTGGTGATTGTGGGGGTGGTGGTGGTGGTGGGGGTGGTGATGGTGGTGGTGGTGGTTGTGGGGGTGGTGAGGGTGGGGGTGGTGGTGGTGGTTGTGGGGGTGGTAGCGTTGCCTTTGTGCGCGCGCGGTGAACACGTGGGGAGACAAAGGCGGCCAGGCGTGGGTGGTTTTGGCCACATCACTTGCCCCAACAGCCTGCTACAGGCTACACGGGGGATCTTTGCCTGTGTGTGCATGTGGGCATCCGCTAGGTCGACTCAGCCTCAAGTGAGTTACCTGGGTTGGGGTGCGTTCGTAAACGTCAGCATTGGGGGTGACAAAGGGGTGTGCTGATGGTATTGCACCAGGTGTGATGCCCCCGCTCAGCTGCTGTTCACCGTCTTCATCACAAGCGAACTGGGGCCATCGCAGACGAGAGCAGCTCAACCACGTGGCTGACATCGTCACGTGGAAATCACAGATGCATAGACACCAACAGAGACCCATAGAGATTCGTAGACACCCATAGATATACATAGAGACCCATAGACACCCGTAGACACCCATATAGATACACAGACACCCATAGACATACACAGAGACCCATAGAGATACATAGAGACACGTAGACACCCATAGACACTCACAGAGATGCACAGAGACCCACAGACACCCATAGATATACATAGAGACCCATAGACCACCACAGAGATGCACAGAGACTCTTTGAGACACGTAGACACCCATAGACACCCACAGAGATGCACATAGACCAACAGAGACACGTAGACACCCATAGACACCCACAGAGACCAATAGACACCCATAGAGACACGTAGACACCCATAGACACCCACAGAGATGCACAGAGACCCATAGACACCCACAGAGATGCAAAGAGACCCACAGAGACACGTAGACACCCATAGACACCCACAGAGATGCACAGAGACCCATAGAGATACACAGAGAACAATAGAGATACCCAGAGACCCATAGAGATACACAGACACCCATAGAGATACACAGAGACACATAGAGATACACAGACACCCATAGAGATACACAGAGACCCATAGAGATACATAGAGACCCATAGAGATACATAGAGACCCACATAGATGCACAGAGATCCATAGAGACACGTAGACACCCATAGACACCCACAGAGACCCATAGACACCCATAGAGACACGTAGACACCCATAGACACTCACAGAGATGCACAGAGACCCACAGACACCCATAGATATACATAGAGACCCATAGACCCCCATAGAGATACACAGAGACCCATAAAGATACACAGAGACCCACAGAGATGCACAGACACCCACAGAGACACGTAGACACCCATAGAGATACACAGAGACCCATAGAGATACACAGACACCCAGAGAGATGTACAGAGACCCACAGAGACACGTAGACACCCATAGACACCCACAGAGACCCATAGACACCCATAGAGACACGTAGACACCCATTGACACCCACAGAGATGCACAGAGACCCACAGACACCCATAGATATACATAGAGACCCATAGACCCCCACAGAGATGCACAGAGACCCACAGAGATGCACAGAGACCCACAGAGATGCACAGAGACCCTTTGAGACACGTAGACACCCATAGACACCCCCAGAGATACACAGAGACCCGTAGACACCCATAGACACCCACAGAGATGCACAGAGACCCACAGAGACACGTAGACACCCATAGACACCCACAGAGATGCACAGAGACCCATAGAGATACACAGAGACCCATAGAGATACACAGAGACCCATAGAGGTACACAGACACCCTTAGAGATACACAGACACCCTTAGAGATACACAGACACCCTTAGAGATACACAGAGACCCATAGAGATACACAGAGACCCGTAGAGATACACATAGACCCTTAGAGATACACAGAGAACAATAGAGATACACAGAGACCCGTAGAGATACACATAGACCCTTAGAGATACACAGAGAACAATAGAGATACACAGAGACCCATAGAGATACACAGAGACCCACAGAGATACACAGAGACCCTTAGAGATACACAGAGACCCATAGAGATACACAGACACCCTTAGAGATACACAGAGACCCTTAGAGATACACAGAGAACAATAGAGATACACAGAGACCCACAGAGACACGTGGGTAGTTAACGTCTCTTAGCCACTGTGAAGCCTATAGGCGCTATTGTTCGCTAACTTCCCTTACCCCAGCAGCCTGGCAAAGGCTACACACGGTGAGGGGTGGAGGGGCGTGGGGATCTTTGTCGTTGTCAGCAACCCCGACTATGACCAGCGTGGTGAAGTATGGTCAAAATAAGGTCAAGTTCTATATTCTTAGTTCTTTCGGTAAAGTCACGTTGAAGGGAAACAACAAAATAATAATCTATATAAAACAATAAAAATTCTCACGACGTTTCGACCATAACACAAATGGTCGTCTTCAGTTGTGTTGGTTTGCATAAATGTATTTAAAAATTTCGTCTCCCCCCTCCTCTTTTCAGAATATAGATGGACTAGTCCTAAATAAACTGCCAAATCGTTGCGCGTGGCGCTAACGTTTTTTTTTATAAATAAATAAATACACCGTTTAAAAATAAATTTATGCAAACCAACACACCTGAAGACGACCGATTCGGAACGGGTAAGTAGTAGGCTGTGTGGTGTGTGAGAGAAGTAGACCTCGCCCATGTTAATCAATGGGACAGGCTTCGTGAGGTAATACGAGTGGAGGTGGAATTCGGAACGGGTAAGTAGTAGGCTGTGTGGTGTGAGAGTAGTAGACCTCGCCCATGTTAATCAATAGGACAGGTGGAATTCGGAACGGGTAAGTTGATACAATTAATATATTTTAATAATTATCATTAATTTTAAGAATTATGAACATTGTAATTATTAATATGAATACCATTCTTATTTTATACTTATATGTTATTATATACTAATAATTATATCTAAATATATTGATATTTTAAATATTATTAATAAAAACATATTCCGATTCCGATGTTTAAAGCAGTAAATGATTATGAATATTATCATAAATAGTATTATAAATTTATAATTATATATAACTATTATATAAAATATTAAAATATAAACATTATTAAAATTAAATAAGCGTTTTTTGTATCATGGGGGAGAGATGCGTCACGAGGCCACGCCCATATGGTTTGACGTCACGCGTCACGTGCAGGAAGAGGGGGCGGGGCTATTATAGTGACGGGTCGGAGACGTCACCACACGCGTCTCGCGGCTCACGGTCGAGTCAACCTCGCTCCTTCACTTCCGCTGCAGCTGTTGTTGTTTTTGACGTTGTTCTTGTTGTTGTTATAATCAACAACAACGCCGAGGGTTGGAAGATGAACGGGCAGACTAAGTTCCTCATCTACCTCTTCGTTGGGGCCATCGTCATGGGTAAGCCTCTTGTCTCTGTGATGAGTCTATGGGTCTCTGTGTGAGTCTATGGGTCTCTGTGATGAGTCTGTGGGTCTCTGTGTGATGAATCTATGGATCTCTGTGATGAGTCTGTGGGTCTCTGTGATGAGTCTATGGGTCTCTGTGTGAGTCTATGGGTCTCTGTGATGAGTCTGTGGGTCTCTGTGATGAGTTTATGCGTCTCTGTGTGAGTCTGTGGGTCTCTGTGTGATGAGTCTATGGATCTCTGTGTGAGTCTATGGGTCTCTGTGTGAGTCTATGGGTCTCTGTGTGAGTCTATGGGTCTCTGTGTGAGTCTATGGGTCTCTGTGTGATGAGTCTATGGATCTCTGTGATGAGTCTGTGGGTCTCTGTGATGAGTCTATGGGTCTCTGTGTGAGTTTATGGGTCTCTGTGTGAGTCTATGGGTCTCTGTGTGAGTCTATGGGTCTCTGTGATGAGTCTCTGGGTCTCTGTGATGAGTCTATGGGTCTCTGTGTGAGTCTATGGGTCTCTGTGTGAGTCTGTGGGTCTCTGTGTGGTGAGTCTATGGGTCTCTGTGATGAGTCTGTGGGTCTCTGTGATGAGTTTATGGGTCTCTGTGATGAGTCTGTGGGTCTCTGTGTGAGTCTATGGGTCCCTGTGTGATGAGTCTATGGGTCTCTGTGTGAGTCTATGGGTCTCTGTGTGAGTCTATGGGTCTCTGTGATGAGTCTGTGGGTCTCTGTGATGAGTCTATGGGTCTCTGTGTAAGTCTATGGGTCTCTGTGTGAGTCTGTGGGTCTCTGTGTGATGAGTCTATGGGTCTCTGTGATGAGTCTGTGGGTCTCTGTGATGGGTCTATTGGTCTCTGTGATGAGTCTATGGGTCTCTGTGTGAGTCTATGGGTCTCTGTGATGAGTCTGTGGGTCTCTGTGTGATGAGTCTATGGGTCTCTGTGATGAGTCTGTCGGTCTCTGATTAGTCTGTGGGTCTCTGTGTGATGAGTCTATGGGTCTCTGTGTGAGTCTGTGGGTCTCTGTGATGAGTCTATGGGTCTCTGTGTTAGTCTATGGGTCTTTGTGTGAGTCTGTGTGTCTCTGTGTGAGTCTATGGCTCTCTCTGTGAGTCTATGGCTCTCTGTGTGAGTCTATGGATCTCTGTGTAAGTCTATGGCTCTCTGTGTGAGTCTATGTGTCTCTGTGTGAGTCTATGGCCCTCTCTGTAAGTCTATGGCTTTCTGTGTGAGTCTGTGTCTCTGTGTCAGTCTATGCCTCTGTGTGAGTCTATAGCTCTCTGTGTGAGTCTATGGCTCTCTGTGTGAGTTTATGGGTCTCTGTTTGAGTCTATGGCTCTTTGTGTGAGTCTATAGCTCTCTGTGTGAGTCTATGGCTCTCTGTGAGTCTATGGGTCTCTGTTTGATGAGTCTATGGGTCTCTTTGTGGTGAGTCTGTGGGTCTCTGTGTGAGTCTATGGGTCTCTGTGTGAGTCTATGGCTCTCTGCGTGAGTCTGTGGCTCGCTGCGTGAGTCTATGTGTCTCTGTGTGAGTCTATGGCTCTCTGTGTGAGTCTATGTGTCTCTGTGTGAGTCTATGGCTCTCTGTGTGAGTCTATGGCTCTCTGTGAGTCTATGGCTCTCTGTGAGTCTATGGCTCTCTGTGTGAGTATATGGGTCTATGCGTGAGTCTGTGGGTCTCTGTGTGAGTCTATGCCTCTCTGTGAGTCTATGGGTCTCTGTTTGATGAGTCGATGGCTCTCTGTGTGAGTATATGGCTCTCTGTGAGTCTATGGCTCTCTGTGTGAGTCTATGGATCTCTGTGAGTCTATGGCTCTCTGTGTGAGTCTGTGGGTCTCTGCATGAGTCTATGGCTCTCTGTGTGAGTCTATGGCTCTCTGTGTGAGTCTACGGCTGTCTGTGTGAGTCTATGGGTCTCTGTGAGTCTATGTCTCTCTGTGAGTCTATGGCTCTCTATGTGTGTCTATGGGTCTATGCGTGAGTCTGTGGGTCTCTGAGTGAGTCTATGGCTCTCTCTGAGTCTATGGCTCTCTGTGTGAGTCTATGGGTCTCTGTGTGAGTCTGTGGGTCTCTGCATGAGTCTATGGCTCTCTGTGTGAGTCTATGGCTCTCTGTGTGAGTCTATGGGTCTCTGTGTGAGTGTGTGGGTCTCTGCATGAGTCTATGGCTCTCTGTGTGAGTCTATGGCTCTCTGCGTGAGTCTATGGGTCTCTATGTGTGAGTCTATGGCTCTCTGTGTGAGTCTATGGCTCTCTCTGAGTCTATGGCTCTCTGTGTGAGTCTATGGCTCTCTGTGTGAGTCTATGGCTCTCTGTGTGAGTCTATGGCTCTCTGCGTGAGTCTATGGCTCTCTGTGCGAGTCCACGGGTCTCTATGGCGCGCTCCTTGGCCCGTAGAGGATCTCACGCCTTTCTCCACGCACCGCTAAGCTGGAGCCACGATCTCTCCACTGCTGGATGACCTCACTTATTTCCATCTCGGCGAGCAAAAATCTTGACCCGTCCTGGCCATTCCTTCTGAACGGGACTCTGGCCTCGTCTTCTGCCTGTGGGTGGGGGTGGGTGGGGGTGGGTGGGGGTGCTGGCCCCCCCTCCCCCCACCAGGTGTGTCCACAGCACTTGCCCCTACAGTCGGTGCGAGGCTACAAGTGATGGGGGTGGGGGCCTTTGCCTTTGCGTGTCGCGTGCAGCGGTGGCTGGAGACTGCATGGTGGTGGTGGAGCAACGTGGCCTGCACCCCAGGGTGAAGAGGGCACGGAATCGGATTCAAACCGCGCTCAAGAGAGGTCAGGAGGGAGACGCGCAAATCACAGCAACAGCAACAATAATAACAGCAACAACAACAGCAACAACAATAACAGCAACAACAACAATAACAGCAACAACAACAGCCGACGTTCGACCCAGTGCCGGATTGTATCCTCGTATCAAAAGTAGCTACACCACGTGGTGTAGCTGCTACTACGCGTGGTGTAGCTGCTACTACGCGTGGTGTAGCTGCTACTACGCGTGGTGTAGCTGCTACTACGCGTGGTGTAGCTGCTACTACGCGTGGTGTAGCTGCTACTACGCGTGGTGTAGCTGCTACTACGCGTGGTGTAGCTGCTACTACGCGTGGTGTAGCTGCTACTACGCGTGGTGTAGCTGCTACTACGCGTGGTGTAGCTGCTACTACGCGTGGTGTAGCTGCTACAACATATGTAGTAGTAGCTACACCACGTGGTGTAGCTGCTACTACACGTGGTGTAGCTGCTACTACACGTGGTGTAGCTGCTACTACACGTGGTGAAGCTGCTACTACACGTGGTGAAGCTGCTACTACACGTGGTGTAGCTGCTACTACACGTGGTGTAGCTACTACTACACGTGGTGTAGCTACTACTACACGTGGTGTAGCTACTACTACATGTGTAGCTACTACAACATGTGTAGTAGTAGCTACTACACGTGGTGTAGCTGCTACTACACGTGGTGTAGCTGCTACTACACGTGGTAGTGCAGTAGCTACACCACGTGTAGTAGCTACACATGTAGTAGCTACTACATGTGTAGTAGCTAAACATGTAGTAGTCACTCACCCCCTCACCCACACACTCACCCATCACTCCATCTCTTCTCTAGCCCGTGTCACTCACCCACTCACCCACACACTCACCCATCACTCCATCTCTTCTCTAGCCCGTGTCACTCACCCACACACTCACCCACACACTCACCCATCACTCCATCTCTTCTCTAGCCCGTGTAACTCACCCACTCACCCACTCTCACCCACTCACTCACCCATCACTCCATCTCTTCTCTAGCCCGTGTCACTCACCCACTCACCCACACACTTACCCACACACTCACCCATCACTCCATCTCTTCTCTAGCCCGTGTCACCCACCCACTCACCCACACGCTCACCTATCACTCCATCTCTTCTCTAGCCCGTGTCACTCACCCACTCACCCACACACTCACCCATCACTCCATCTCTTTTCTAGCCCGTGTCACTCACCCACACACTCACCCACTCACCCATCACTCCATCTCTTCTCTAGCCCGTGTCACTCACCCACTCACTCACCCACTCACTCATCATTCCATCTCTTCTCTAGCCCGTCACTCACCCACTCACCCACAAACTCACCCACACACTCACCCATCACTCCATCTCTTCTCTAGCCCGTGTAACTCACCCACTCACCCACTCTCACCCACTCACTCACCCATCACTCCATCTCTTCTCTAGCCCGTGTCACCCACCCACTCACCACACACTCACCCATCACTCCATCTCTTCTCTAGCCCGTGTCACTCACCCACTCACCCACACACTCACCCATCACTCCATCTCTTCTCTAGCCCGTGTCAACCACCCACTCACCCACACACTCATCCATCACTCCATCTCTTCTCTAGCCCGTGTCACTCACCCACACACTCACACATCACTCCATCTCTTCTCTAGCCCGTGTCGCTCACCCACTCACCCACACACTCACACATAACTTTATCTCTTCTCTAGCCCGTGTCACTCACCCACTCACTCACCCACTCACCCATAACTTTATCTCTTCTCTAGCCCGTGTCACTCACCCACTCACCCACACACTCACCCATCACTCCATCTCTTCTCTAGCCCGTGTCAACCACCCACTCACCCACACACTCATCCATCACTCCATCTCTTCTCTAGCCCGTGTCACTCACCCACACACTCACACATCACTCCATCTCTTCTCTAGCCCGTGTCACTCACCCACACACTCACCCACACGCTCACCCATCACTCCATCTCTTCTCTAGCCCGTGTCACTCACCCACTCACTCACCCATCACTTCATCTCTTCTCTAGCCCGTGTCACTCACCCACTCACCCACACACTCACCCATCACTCCATCTCTTCTCTAGCCCGTGTCGCTCACCCACTCACCCACACACTCACACATAACTTTATCTCTTCTCTAGCCCGTGTCACTCACCCACTCACTCACCCACTCACCCATCACTCAATCTCTTCTCTAGCCCATGTCACTCACTCACTCACCCACACACTCACACATCACTCCATCTCTTCTCTAGCCCGTGTCGCTCACCCACTCACCCACACACTCACCCATCACTCCATCTCTTCTCTAGCCCATGTCACTCACCCACTCACCTACACACTCACCCATCACTCCTTCTCTTCTCTAGCCCGTGTCACTCATCCACTCACCCACACACTCACACATCACTCCATCTCTTCTCTAGCCCGTGTCGCTCACCCACTCACCCACACACTCACCCATCACTCCATCTCTTCTCTAGCCCGTGTCACTCACCCACTCACCTACACACTCACCCATCACTCCTTCTCTTCTCTAGCCCGTTTCACTCACCCACACACTCACCCACTCACCCACACACTCACCCATCACTCCATCTCTTCTCCAGCCCATGTCACTCACCCACTCACCCACACACTCACACATCACTCCATCTCTTCTCTAGCCCGTGTCACTCACCCACTCACCCACACACTCACCCATCACTCCATCTCTTCTCTAGCCCGTGTCACTCACCCACTCACCCACACACTCAACCATCACTCCATCTCTTCTCCAGCTCGTGCCGCGCCCATTTAGCCCCCTCTGCCCGGCCGAACAAAAGCTGTTTCGGCATGCGGGCTACATGTATCATGACACATGTAGCATGTTACATGTATCATTACACATGTAGCATTCTACATGTGTCATGACACATGTAGCATTCTACATGTAGCATGATACATGTAGCATGATACATGTGGCATTCTACATGTATCGTGACACATGTAGCATTCTACATTATCATGACACATGTATCATGACACATGTAGCATGATTCATGTAGCATGATACATGTAGCATGATACATGTAGCATCACCCAGCTGGGTCATGTAGCAAATAATAAGATGAAAAAAGATCCCCCGTGTAGCCTCTAGCAGGGTGTAGGGGCAAGTGCTGTGAGTAGCAGCAGCAGTGCCCTATAGACACAGACAAAGGTCCCCCGTGTAGCCTCTAGCATGGTGTAGGGGCAAGTGCTGTGAGTAGCAGCAGCAGTGCCCTATAGACACACAGACAAAGGTCCCCCGTGTAGCCTCTAACAGGGCTGTAGGGGCAAGTGCTGTGATTGATGTTGTTGTGGTGCTGATTGTTGTTGTTGTGGTGCAGATTGTTGTTGTTTTGGTGGTACAGATTGTTGTGGTTGTGCTCATTGTTGTTATGGGTGTTATTGTGGTTGCTGTTGTGTTGATTGATGCTATTGTGGTGCTGATTGGTGTTGTGGTGCAGATTGTTGTTGTTGTGGTGGTGCAGATTGTTGTGGTGCTGAATGTTGTGGTTGTTGTTGTACTGGTTGTTGTGATGGCTGTTGTTATGTTTGTTCTGATTGTGGTTGTTGTGATGGTGCTGTTGTAGTTGTTGTGGTGTTGATTGTTGTTGTGCTGATTATTGTGGTTGTTGTGGTGCTGATTGTTGTTGTTGTGGTGCTGATCGTTGTTGTGCGGATTGTTGTGGTTTTTTTGGTGCTCATCGTTGTTGTGCGGATTGTTGTGGTTGTTGTGGTGCTGATTGTTGTTTTGCGGATTGTTGTGGTTGTTGTGGTGCTGATTGTAGTTGTGCTGATTGTTGTGGTTGTTGTGGTGCTGATTGTTGTTGTGCTGATTGTTGTGGTTGTTGTGGTGCTGATTGTTGTTGTGATTATTGTGGTTGTTGTAGTGCTGATTGTTGTGGTTGTTGTGGTGCTCATTGTTGTTGTGCTGATTGTTGTGGTTGTTGTTGTGCTGATTGTTGTGGTTGTTGTGGTGCTGATTGTTGTTGTGCTGATTGCTCTCGTTGTTGTCTCTGCACCTGCCAGGCGTGGCGACGTTTAAGAAGATTTTGCTAATCGCGGTGCTGTGCGTCGTCATCTTCATCAGCCTCACCCTCTTCTACAACTACGGGGGGACGTGAGTGGAGCCACCATCACCACCATCACCACCACCATCATTACCATCACTACCACCACCACCACCATCACCACCACCATCACCACCACCATCACCACCATCACCATCACCACCATCACCACCACCATCACCAGCACCATCACCACCACCATCACCACCACCATCACCACCACCATCACCACCATCACCACCACCATCACCACCACCATCACCACCACCATCACCACCACCACCATCACCACCATCACCACCATCACCACCACCATCACCACCACCATCACCACCACCATCACCACCACCATCACTACCACCATCACCAGCACCATCACCAGCACCACCACCACCACCACCACCATCAACACCACCATCACCACCACCATCACTACCACCATCACCGCCATCATCATCATCACCACCATCACTGCCACCATCAACACCACCATCACCACCATCATCACCACCACCATCACTACCACCATCACTACCATCATCATCACCACCATCACCACCACCATCACCGCCACCATCACTGCCACCATCAACACCACCATCACTACCACCATCACTACCATCATCATCATCACCATCATCACCACCATCATCATCGCACCATCTCCATCATCATCATCATCTCTCTCCATCATCATCATCTCTCTCCATCATCGTCATCTCCATCAACAACAACAACCGCCATTCGCCACTAAGTGGCGGTGACGTCACCACGACGCTTGTGCCAGACCATGTGCACCTTGAGGCCACGTGAAGTGTCGAACGCCCGCTAGCAGGAGGTCACGGGGCAGACCCAGGTGCCACGGGTCGACTAACTGAGATGACTGGCTGATGCACCACCTGTGCCCTCTACTGTGCCAACTTACTGTGCTTTAGCCACCCGGCGCTCCGCTCGTTGTTGTGAGCGTCGCTCCTCCGCCCTCAGTTGTTGTTGGAGGGCAACTGCCTCCAACTGCCCAGTAGCGTCCTACACAGAGGCCGATCTTGACACCGCTGGTACCAGTCATCGGCAAGTCCGCTCAGCTCCACGTTCTCCTGTACCACATCACTCCATCTCTTCTCTAGCCCGTGCCGCGCCCGTTTAGCCCCCTCAATCCGGCCGAACAAAAGCTGTTTAGGCATGCGGTGGCTGGGAATGCAGGCTACATGACCCAGCCAGCGCAGCCTTGCCTGCCGGAGGAGCTCACAGATGGGACTTTGTCCAAATCTTTCAAGGATTTGTGAGCTCCTCACACAATCCAGCCTGGTTAAACCCAGGATGGATCGTAGGCAGGCCAGCCTAAATGTTTCCAACTGGTAAAGATGTTCCATTAGGGGGGTCCACGTTTCGCAAGCGTAGAGAAGGGAAGGAATGACTGTGGCGAAGACCTGAAACTTCGTGCGGAGCGACAGACCAGGTAGCTTCCACACAGCGTTACGGAACCGATGAAAAGATATTGCCGCTCGACTTATTCGGAGTGAGACCTCTGCTGTTAAACCGGAGCCAGTCATGAGCCCACTGCCCAGGAATGGGAAACTCTACAATCTTTCCACACTGCACCATCACAAATTGGGAGTTGTGGGGGTGGAGTGTCTGATGGTACAAAATACCCAGGCAGGTGATTAGTTTTGGTGGGGCTGATGGTAAGTCCCCACCTCTTAGTGGCAAGCTCCAGGTTCACAAGCAGTGCTTCAAACTCCTCCTCTGAGTGAGCAGAAATTACCAGATCATCGGCATACATAACATGGTTGAGCAATAGGGAGCCATCTCTTGACTGCACCCGGGTATCGATCAGCCTTCCATTGTATCTGTGCCAGATGGAAATTCCTCCGGTACAGCTATTGAAGGCTTCACGAACTACGTGGTCGAAATAGATGTTAAATAATGTGGGAGCCAGAGGACATTCCTGTCGCACCCCAAGGTGTACAGGGAATGGCTCTGACTCCCGGCCACGTAATTTCATCCGGGCCCGCTCACCATCATTAAGGTCCTTAATGATCGTGAGCAGAGTATCAGGGACTCCGAAAGCACGAACAACAACCCAGAGCCCAGGCCTACTGATGGTATCATAGGCCTTGAAACGGTTGCAGGACAACCGTTTCCTGAAACCGCATTGGGGCTACGCAAGCCTCTCCTCTGCGTTCCTAGCAAGGCGATGTTGAATAATCCTTGGCAGGACTTTTCCCAGCACACTGAGGAGTGAGATTCCCCTGTAGTTGTTACAGTCTGTGCGGTCCTCCTTCTTAAAGAGGGGGACCACCAGGGCATCCTTTCAATCCTGTGGAACCCGTCCAGTGGTCCAGACTGTTGTTATGATGTCATGTAGGGCAGTCTGCGCACAAACACTACCCTCCCTCAGCATTTTGCTTGGGAGATCATCTCTGGTCTCAGGCTCTGGATCGCCTTCAGTACTTCCTCAACAGATGGCACCTCAGCCAGCCACTCACAGGGGGTGAATTCTTCTTCCAATATTTGAGGCAGGGTCACCCCCGCTTTACTCTTTGGTTCTTTTAGTAAAGTCACGTGTGGATCCTTGCAGTCACCAAAACTTCAAATCTAGAATCATCCCCACTTTGTCCCACGTTGTTTTCCAGGATGAGGGATTAACCCTCCCCCCAGGACCTCACAGAAATGCTCAGCAAATCTGCAAAGCTGTTCCTGGGGGTCAGAGATTGGATCACCGTTCTTTCCCCTAATGATAGTAATAAGGTGTGGCGCTGGAGGTTACTTTTTTGATGGAGTTAAATAGAGATTTGTGATCGCGGGCCATTGAGGCAGACTCCATCTCCTCAGCAACCCGCGACCACCACCCATCCTTGCAGCGCCTCACGGCTCTCCGAACCTCCGAGCGATGGCTGCGTTAAGCCTCCTCATTCTCTGACGTGGGATGCTGTAGACGATGAGAGTGGGCCTGTCGCTTTTACTCAGCCAGCTTGAACACCTCCTCTGTCAGCCAGCGTCTCTGGGGAGGTCTGGACCGCGTACCCAAAGCAGCCATTGCAGCTGCATGAGCCACAGTCCTAAACCTCGCCCATTTACCCTCAACATCAGGAGCCGTGGGGGACGACGCCAACCCCAGCTGCAAGCGATGATGAAATTTTCGCTTGGAACTTTCATCAGCTAGCTGAGACCATGCCACTGAGGGGTTGAAGAATGACAGGTGCATCTTACAGATGATTAGTCGATGGTCAGTAGGTAGATCAGCTCCACGGTAGGTCCTGGTGTCAGGGACATGGGCCCGCATCCGCTGTTCCGTCACTATGTAGTCCAGCAGATGTTCTTGCTTGGATCCGACATGCATCCATGTTGTTGTGTGAATGCGCCGATGCCGGAACAGCGTGTTGGTAATTACAAGCCCCTGGGCTGCACAAAATCTAGC